TTTCTGATAAGAATTCTGTTCGATATGTTTACTTGCTGACAAACCAAATGACAGTCGTTGTGTATAAAACGGAGAAGGGTGGACATAGAACAACGACCACCAAAGTCGATTTTGGCTTTCCTCATTTGGCAGTCAATAAACTAAATATCTCAGAGTGATACACACTTCAACACACACACACATACATATATGTATACATACACAAGCACATATACACATGCACATACATACTCTCTCTCTCACACACACATACACACACACACACACACACATATATATATATATATATATGTGTGTGTGTGTGATGTATGTGTCTGCGTGTGTGAAGAGAATGAGAAATAAACAAAAAGAAAAATAAAGAAAGCTTCAATAAAAAAAAAATGCTGTTAGGCATCCTAATTGATAGGGTGTCAGATTTATTTGCATTCTTTTGGAAGTCTTCAAGCATAACTCGATATTGGTAATTTCGGATCCCGTCAACTTTATCAACGTTGGTATTTTTCTCTTCGTATATAGAATGAAATAAACGTTACATTTTTAGATTTCGAAATGTTTCTCGCCGACAGAATGTTATGGTTTACTTTACGGAATTAAATTTGGTCCGTCAGGAAATATAGGAGAAATTTCAAGTTTATAGTTTTATAATTAAATTCGGAATAAATTGTGAAGAAAGGAACAATCAAGAATAGTTCAATTACTGAACGCGTCTAGTTAGAAGTGAAAAGGCCGGCATTCTTCTTATAAGCCAGTTCTGACATTCTTGCATTTTTTCTGTTATTTTTTTAAAAGTATAAATGAAAATAAATAAAAATGCAGCTTTATGATAAACCATTTATGAACAGTATGTTCAGTTTCTCCTTTGTTTCTCATCAGGACCAGACGCTTTCCCAGACTCACTCGCGTATTCAGCAACAATTAAAACGGTATTTATCCGTTACCTCCCCACAAAGCGGGATGTGGCACAAGGCCATTTTTACGTGGGGTTTTGCGGGTAGCTAGACTGGGCAAAAATTTCCCCGTAAATCCCGAATACACGGGGTCGGGTAGCTGTCTACCTCCCCAGACGAGACTCTGCCCTTCAGCATAGATTCATCTGTGTTCCTCTCCGCCCGGAGGCAGAGGTCGACAAGCCGTTTTCCCAAATCCAGAGGTTTGGCAACTGACAAAAAAAAAACGGCAACAATTAAAAAACTGACCCTCGTCATCGAATTTATAGCCCGCTAATGACACGCCCTCTAGTGACTTTAATACTTCGAGTTTCAAGGACGATTACTCAAATAAACACATTCTATATAGTACTACTAATAAATATTACAAGAAGCCCTGAAATATTACTAATTACGATGAATGAATACCCCTTGCTTCGAGCGATTATCGGGCTTTAAACTACACCCAGACCTCAAGTGGAGCTCGTAAATACAATCTATCGTGGAAGAATGTTCGATTCACTGTATCGCCCCAGTTAAGTACCTGACTCCTCATGCTATCATGTACCTTTACAAGAGCCAAATCAGGCCTGAAATGGGGTACTGCTGCCTAGTCCTCTCTTTCCATTCACCGTGATCCTGTGGGTGATAAATTATTTCCACTCTACAACCCCTTTCTCGGAGACGAAACATAGGTAGCCTCTCATTACTAATTCTATGGGAAGTACTCAGACGAACATAGTCTCACAAGTTCTAACCTTCATAGCTAAGACTCGCCATTTTACGACCATTGTAACGAACCACTCTCATTCTCTTTGTATTTCATTGGCGTGATGTAACTCGAGCAACTGTTCTGTGGGACCGACACTCAAGTTGATGTTTTCCTGGTCACTTCAATCTTAACCTGTTTACCCCGGGTTAACCGTTATCTTCCCCATATACCCGCATAAACTGTGCTTCAAATTAATGGTTTGCGTTACAAACAAAGAAAAGAGTACTGGACGGTTACGTGATGTCTATTTTTTATGTGGCAGGAAATGATTGACAGTCTCCTCTAAGATGGAGAAGAGATTTTAAGCAACAGAAATATAGTTCAAAAGAAAGATGCTCAGGATACCATGGACCGAATATATGAGCAACGACGAAATTTTTAGACAAAATGGAAACTAAAAGGAGACTTATAATTAACATCAGGAAGAGACAGCTGAAATTTCTGGGATACATAATGAGGAAGGAGGTTTTGGAAAATCTGATACTCACAAGGCATTTTAAAGATAAGAGTGACAGAGGAAAACAACGCATACCATAGTTTGTGGGCTTGTGTAAATGGATAGCGGACTAGGATTTAGGAAAGATAGCAAAAAGACAAAACTTATTAAGTGCAAGAAAGAACAAGAAGTTGTGGAGAGCCATGATGACCGACGTCTTGGGGAAATACGGCACATAAAGAAGAATTCGTTTAAAAATGTAGATTTACCTTTTTAATCGCCTTTATCAATTCTGAAAGCAAGTTCTACGGGAAAAACTTGATGTGCCTCTAGTTTAAGAATTTTATATGAAGTAAAACATCTCCAGAAATTTACCATTCAGAATCACAAAACATACCTTATTATACAGTAGCGTCCAAAACTAAGAGACAAAATTTTAAAACCTAATATTTGTTAGAAATAACAACTGTGAAAAGCTGAAATTTTGACAACTGGTAGTCGTTATTATCCATAATAACATACTAAAATTTGAATCATTTGCAAAGGATAGAAAAAGAATTATAACAATTATTTATTTATTTTCAAAATAGGATCGTCCAAAAGTAAGGGACAAAATTGAGAAAAACAATGTAAACAGTATGCTATATTCAAATTTTTTTTGATTTCCTCTAAAGAATAAGTCTTACTTAGTCATTTGTAAACGTTGCATCAGCCGGCACCATGGCGAAACGCCAAAAACTTGATTACTCTGTGAGACAAGCTATTGTTAAGCTACACAAGGAAAAGCACACCATTAGAGAGATTTCAGAGAAAGTGAAACGTTCCAAGAGTGTTGTAGGCAGGGTTGTTAAATCCTACAATGATACTGGCAAAATAGTTAGTGCTTTTAAAACCGGCAGACCCCACAAAACTTCGGCAAGAGAAGATCGAATAATGCAGCGTATGTCATTAAAGGACCGTTTTAAGTCTTGCACAGAAATTAAAAGGATTATGAATAGTACCTCATGTGTTAATGTGTCAAGACAGACTGTTTGTAGACGACTGCAAGAAATACGGCTGTTTAATCGAACCCCAGGGAAGAAACCACTTTTTAGTTCGAAGAATAAGAAGAAGAGATTAGAGTCTGCAAGCAGGTATGTAATTTGGACATATGAAAATTGGGCAAAAGTATTTTTCAGTGATGAAAGCAAGTTTAATTTATTTGGAAATGATGGAAAAAACAATGTAAAGAGACATATTGGTGAAAGATTAAGTGCAAAGTGTACTAAGAAAACTGTCAAGTTTGGGGGCGGAAGCGTCATGGTATTTGGAATGTTTTCTAGCCAAGGTACAACGCCTCTTGTCCGGTTACAAACTCGTGTAAATGCGCAGATCTATAAAAACATTGTTCAAGATCATGTTGTGCCAATCATACAGAATTCAGGTTTTGATAGGACTACCTTTATGCAAGATAATGCCCCATGTCACAAGGCAAAGGTGGTAATGAGTTACCTTAGCGACCTAAGATTTGGAAATTATAGATTGGCCGCCGCAAAGTCCTGACTTAAATCCAATAGAAAATCTTTGGAAGACCTTAGGAGTGAAAGTTATGGAAAGAAATCCCACTAACACGGAGGATTTGTGGGTGAAGCTTCAAGAAGAATGGTCTAAAATTAGTATCGAGGATTGTCAAGAACTGATTCGTTCTTGTAGTCGAAGATGTGTAGCTGTCATTGAGAGCAAGGGCTCATTTACTAAATATTGATTGTACATGTATTTTTATTGTTTTTTTGCCGTTTACATTGTTTTTCTCAATTTTGTCCCTTACTTTTGGACGTTCCAAATTAAATAAATCCAAATGAAAATAAATAAATACTTGTTATAATTCTTTTTCTATCCTTTGCAAATGATTCAAATTTTAGTATGTTATTATGGATGATAATGACTACCAGTTGTCAAAATTTCAGTTTTTCACAGTTGTTATTTCTAACAAATATTAGGTTTAAAATTTTGTCCCTTAGTTTTGGACGCTACTGTATGTTGACTGTGATCTAATTTGGTTCGTTCACTTGCATTTAACTCTTCAAATTCAGACATTGAGAGTAATATGTCTGTTCAAATACTTATGTCAATATATTTCATGGAATTTATGTAATTATATAGTTAAAAGTTTTTGCTCTATTTATGAGGGAGCCAGCTCAATATCGGAGCGTTTAAAGACATGACTTAAAAGTTGACTGAGGGTTTAAACAGACAGTCATCGTGATATACTGATTTTTGTGTCCACGATCATCTATCTATCTATCTATCTATCTATCTATCTATCTATCTATCTATCTATCTATCTATCTATCTATCTCATTCTGCTCATAATCTATCTATCTATCTATCTATCTATCTATCTATCTATCTATCTATCTATCTATCTATCTATCTATTTCAGGTAGATATAGATCGATGTGAGAAAAGATGGATAGAGAAAGAGAGTGAGATAATGGAATATCCTCAGCAGATTTCTCTTGTTATTAAGTGCATTAATATCGAATTCTGTCAGAGGCTGCTTCCTTAGCAGAGAAATAAGTAGAAACAATAATATTGGACTTATTATTGAAGCCAAGTCGTTTCAATAGTAATTCCTGTTATTTTTAACGACGAGTAAAAATCACGGTGACAGCTGGTAAATATGTAAAAAAAAAAAATATACAGTTATATCAGCCAGGTGAAGAGCCGCCATATGATTTGATTTGAAGTAAACAGTGATTTGAAAAAATATTAATGATTCGAAAAAAATAGGAAGAAAGCCAAAAGTTACATATGATAAAAAATATCAGGGGAAAAAGCTTGAACATAAAAAATTGTAGATTAGAAAGTCTGAAGCCTTCTACGGTTATAAGAAAAGAAATTCAGTGGACAATAAAGAACTGAGAGTTAATGGCGGATTGGAAGACTGTAATGAATGTGGAAAGTACGCAGGTGTAGGCTTTAAGAAAGCTTTATTCTACCTAGAATACAAGGTTCGCGGATAGTGTCCTTTTATAGTCCTAGTAAACAAAAATAGCTCTCTCAAAGAGGAGAGTAACAAAACAAGGGGAGACCACTCTTGATTATTCATAACAGTTTCATATTCACTTTCGGATATGTCTGTAAGCACAATGACCTAGTGAACGAGGGTGTTGGGAAGAAAAATGCTAGAAAGTGGAATGTTTGTTTTTAGGACAAGTTGAACGGGAACTATTCCCTTAAGCGACCAACAAAAAAAAAGAAAAAAAAAACCTCGATAGAAACGCTATCAAGGAGAGTATAAGAACTAAAGCAAGGATCCTTTAAACCCACTGCTCCCGCTTACCCTTTCATCCTGTTCGAGTGTGTTGGTGTGCTGGTTGAGACGAATAAGAGAAATTTGTGGATATCATTGAATAATTAGCCGACAAGTAGTTGATACTGAGGATGCTGAGGTTACCATGGACCGATTATGTGAGCAACAGCAAAGTTTTAGCGAAAAAAGGAAACTTCTACTTAACATCAGTAAGATATAATTGAAATTTCTAGGGCGCATAATAAGGAAAGAAGACTTGGAAAGCCTGATACTCATAGGACAGGTTGAAGCCACGAGGGACAGAAGAAAACAACGCAAAAAAATACTTAGTTTGATGAAACGGAACAGGTTTCAGGAGAAATAACAAAACGACAAAACTTATTAAGAGCTACAAAGGTCAGGAAGATAAGGAGAGCCACTGTACATAAAGAAGAAGTAGATGTTTATAATTTTATTCAATATGTTGTAACACAATTATTGAGGTTCGCATTTTCAATTGACAGTCTGACACGAAATGGGATTTTCATGAATCCAAGCTGACAGCTTGAACACAAATGTAAGTTGATGGGAAGAGGGAAATAAATTTCATGTCAGGTTTTAGACAGTGTTTTCTTAAAACATATCGGGTGTAACAGCAAAAGTGTCTAGAATCGTGTAACAGCAAAATTATTCAATTGTTAGATTAAGCTCTGAACCGTTGTATCATAGAAATGGTTAAATATATCTTACTAGTATTCTCCAAGGTTTTTATATCACCTGGAGGCCCGGTGGCGTAATGGATAGAGGTTCGGATTGAGGAATCGGAGAGCTAAGTTCGAATTCCAGTCAAATCCATTACATTCACTTACGCGCTAATACCCTTGGGAATCTTCTTCTTTTCCCCCAGCTAAATAGAAGGACAAACTTGTTCTATAGCTTTGGATGGCAACTGGTCTACCGTAGAAAGAAATCTACCTCGTCAGTCAGGTATCGAAAGATACATGATCGCCTAAACGTGTATCACGCATAGCGCATAACTGACTGACTGATTAGACTCTACTTGAAGCAATAAGAATGTATAATAACTCTCTAAGCTTTACAGAAGTATCTTGATAAATTCGGTGATAAACAAAGATGACATGTCCATGATTAATTAATCATAATTAACGATCAGGGAGCTCAAGGAGGATTGAAATAAAGTTCACTCACACACACACACACACACACACACACACACATATATATATATATATATATATATATATATATATATATATTCAGGATCATTTTCCATCTTATTCAAGTTGATCTTCGCCTTATTAACATTCTGTCCTGGATTAACAAGATGACTCACAGGTTTCACGTACGATTTCATTTTCAAGTCTTTTTCACTGCTCTTTAGACTGTCATAGTTGAAAATCTCCTCTCACGTCCCAAACGTCTTATGAATTGAGTTGGATCTTTTCTAATTAATCTTTAGCTCTAAGTTGAAATGATGATCCCTCTTCCTGTATGACCTTCTGAACTTATTCACCGTTCTCTTGATGGTTCTTGAATGGACTTTGAAGATGGAAATCAGAGTATGAATGTTAATACCATTGGTACTGAAGGCCTGAACGATCTTTTTCCTCTAACTATTGCTCATTTGGGACGACAGAGGGTCTGCCACAAAACAATTTTAACCTGCTCTGTTTTTAGCTGAATAACTCGGAGAGTTTTTCTGTGATTCTTAAAAAAATGGTGCAAAGATGGCTAACCTTCTTATCTGAAAACATGGAAAAAAGAAACCCAATTAGTTTCGTGAGTTTTTAGATATTAGACATTTTGTGGGATGGCTAATTATGCTGTTACACGATTTAGGCAATTTTGCTGTTACACGCATTATGTTTTCGACATCGAACACCGAAACCTTGGCAGGTGCTAAATCTTTGACCATTGAATAATTAAAAAATTATAAACTCATTACCTGGATTAGATCTGGAATTTTTTCAAAATAGACTACAAATCACTTGATAATTCGCTTGGGTGAAATAGAAGTCGAATTGCTTCTTTCTGTCGGGAAAAAAGACGTAAGTTTCGCAAACTTCTCATCATAAAAAGGTGCAAATTGCCGACCGTACGAGAGACTTGATCGCATATCACCTGAATGTCTTGCGCGTACCACAAAGAGTGCGAACCCTCGATCTCCAGAAAGTAGTTTTTGTTTATTCTAATCGTGGACTTCAAACTGTCAGCTAGGTGCTGCTGTGGCCATGTTTATCATTCCTTCTGTCTTCTGTGATTTTCTGATAAACTCAGTAAAAGTAAGAATAAAAGTTTGTTTATAAACTGCTTTTGATACTGTCTCGGTTATTTACATTTTCTTAGGCCTTATTGTCGCACTTTTGTCTAAAACAAAGAAAACTATACGAAATAGCTATTAGTCTTTTGCTCGTTGTCTGACTGGCATTTTACGGAGATGTTGCCTTTCTATAGTGAGATTAAACATTACTGAACACATTGAACACTTACAAAAGAAAGCGTTCTTTTGTTCCGTGCATTTATTCAGTAGATTTTTGTGACATTAAATATGGTCCTTTCAGAATTATCTTGAACAAAAAAAAAGAAGAAAAAGAAAAGAAAAACGCAAGTGTTTAAAGTAGAGTAGGATTTAAGATAAAATCTTTGAAAAACAGAAACTGTGATCGAGAATAAGAAAGGTGGCACTCTGAATTCTTCATAAAAATATACAATGTGGAATGAATACATGTTAAACAATTCAAATACGTTAGCGTATGAATCAGTTATAAACGATTGAGTACAGGAAATTGAACACAGAATATATTGCGCAAGAGATAGTTTCATCCAAAACTGCAACATGTGGCAAAACGAAAACATTAAGCTAAAAACTCTAGTTATATTCTTGACTCTTTTGTGGGTGTTATGTATGGCGGCCAAATCGTTCGGAAATAACTAAATTCCAGCTGTCAATGATTGAAAATAGTTTAAAGCGTCCTTCGTTGGTTTTATCTTTTGATTGATTGATTCGTTTTCTACGGCTTATCAACCCTTTGCAGGTTATTTAAAGCCAGGAAATATTTTTAGGTTGCAAGAATTTTCATTTTGTTTATAGATAGCAATGGTTTAGTGATACAAGTGTTGTTAAATAACTGATAGCTGGTGGGTAGAAGAGGTGGATTCCGAGCCATTATCCATTAAATCACCCGTACGTACAAGCTTACAGCACCGGGTATTACTAAGCGGTGGCCCATCAAAGTACTGACCTGGCTCGTCGTTTCTTCACCTGGGTGATCGTACGTGGGACCGGTATTTCAGTGTGATGAAGTCGTAATCCTTCCTTCATTGGATCTCGTAGACTGGCGCTATAGGATCACGAACAAAGAAGTTTAGCAAATAACATAAACTACATCAAATGAAGACCTTCAACAACAGCAATAATTAAACTGGATAACCAATGTGACTGGAAGAGAAAAATAATGACATAATAAAGACGCCTATTTACCACACTATCCCCATTAATGCAAAGAAAGACCGATAACAGTTAGTGGCCTTAAGAAATCTAATTTCCTGAAAGAAACCTTTTTAATAAACTTCATCGGATAGTCAGTCAGTTATGTGCCATAAATGATACACGCTTGGGAGATCATGCATCTTTCGATACATGACTGACGAGGCAGATTTTTTCCCGCAGTAGGTTGCCATTTCTTTCTTCAGTAGACCAGTTGCCATCCAACCCGGTTTGTCCTACTATTTACCTCATAGCAGAGAGGAGAGAATTCATACTTCCCCCAACAATATTAGCATGTAGGTGAATGTAATGGATTCGACTGGAATTCGAAATCGGCTTCTCCGATTCTACAATCCGAGCCGCTAACCCTTACTCCACTGTTATCCATCCGATAGTACTGCTCAATGTTTGATCAATGAATCTCGAATGTTTCCTTATAATGCAACATTTAAACTCATTTTTTTTTTTTGCTTTTACAGTGCAACCTCGGATCTCGAACGTCTTACATGTCGAACAAATCGGTTTTCGAACAGAAAATTCGAGATGAAAATACCTCGGTTATGGAACAAAATTTCGGTTCTCGAACAACATTGACGAACCGATTTAACTCTAACGGAATAATTTCTGAGTCGACCGTCGTTTTGTATACATTCGTACGTTGTGGCGGGCTTTTCTTTTATAATTTTATTGTACTGGGATTTTTTTTTCTACATTGATTTCTATTGGAAATTAGTTTCGGTTTATGAACATTTCTGGTTACGAACGGCTTTCAGGAACGAATTAAATTCGTGACCCGAGGTACGACTGTATTTTAAAAAGTCCGTTTTTGTGTGGAGGCTTATCTTTGTTTTTCGCTTCATTTTTGACGCCATTAAGGCTCATTAGAAAATAAAATCTTTATTTTGTGAAAATGGAACCAAAGACAATGTCGAGAATTACTTAAATAATTTAATAGCGAAATATGACAGATACGACCCCCATAGAAAAATATCATACGAAAGCAAAATCGATTATATCATTTCTGAACAAAACAAATGAAAGGACAAAAAGCTTAGCTGCCGATGTTTTCATCTTTTCATCTTCATTTTCACGTCCTATGAAGATTCTCAGCAGATAGTAATGAAACAGATCAGTTGCTTTTGTCTTAGAAGTTGAGCTTCCGTTTAACAGGAAATATTTGAGACTCTAATCTCTTTTCAGTTTTTTGAACCATAGACGGTCGCCAAGGTTTCTCTCGATGTAATACATAAGTATCGAGCATAGTCATGTCAGTTCTTGAATAAATAATTCTTTTTTCAGTTGTTATAAGGATATACAAAATATATTTTGAGTTGGATCTATTTCTTAAAAAAAATGGAGACATAGTGGATTAATGAATCGGTTTGGCGAATCGGAAAGCCGAGTTCGAATTCCAGTTGAGTTCATGATATTCACTTACATACTATTAGCCTTGGGAAAGGTATGAACCCATCTCTACTCCGACCTACTGGATAGACTGGGTTTTACAGAATGGGAACCAGTCTAGGAGAAGGACATCTTTGGATTCAAGACCTGAGGGCCTAGTTTACGAAGAGAGAGCGACCAACGCCATAATTCCGTGATATTCGTTTGTCGGTTAAGTGCTTGAGGAGGAGATGGGCCTCGATTAGCTCTCTGAAAGCCAGTTGAAAGTATAACGAGGAGGAATGATTCTTCTTCCTCATGTTCTTTTTTTTTCTGCGATCAGGCACCCTCCACTCGAAGACTGAGGAAGTCGAGGGACCGATGAGGATGACTTCTTTTTATTCTTATTTTTTCAAATGTGGATCTTCGAAGAAATTTGAGATAAATGGCAATTAGAGACATATAGCCTTATCGCCTTAATAGACTTGAGAAATACTTTATTTTTATTTTAAATTTCATCCGATATAAGGTTCGAGAGCCAGTCAAGGCGGAGGTAATTGTTAAAATGCTTATGACGAATAACGTATAACGAATGAAAGAGAAGGTGTAGAAAATGTAGTTTATGCGGATGAAGAGGATAGATAATGATTGTCACTTGAAGTGTTCAAGGGAAATCCATTAGGGAAAGTCTGTTTTACTGAGTAGCAGTTCTGGAAGGAAAACACTGAACGGAACTTTCTCTTTACATTTGGAATAAGGGGGGTGGATTGAGGCTGGTCCGGCTCTGTGGATGCACCATGGCATGTCTGGATGTAATTAGTTTGAAATGATAGAACTAAAGAACTGGGATCATTTTATATGAAAATAGCGATAGATGTCGTCGATAGGCTTGCGACGTTGCATCCGTGGGAAAGAGACTGTAGAGTGAATAATAACAAGACCGCGTAAAGAATTTTGAACTCACCGAAAAGTGAGGATTTAATAGCTCCAGTCCAGACACGGCAGCGGTTCCCCATGCTTTATTAATAAACTCTGGTCTAAAACAACTTTCTCACATCTCGTGAGATATTCTATATGATAAAAGGAAGCGTTTTCCAGCCCGTTTCACACTGTCTGCGCGTGACTTTACATTAACTCATGTTAGGTATATGATCAGGTCTTTGTTGTGCGTGAATGGGTTACAAGTATTTGTGCCATTTACTGTAAGCACACACACATACACACACACACACATACACACACATGCACATAGTTTGACCGATTTCGAAATAACATACTAGAATAATATATTTTCCTCCCGCTATGTCTGGTAAAATAAAATATACTTCCCGGTGCAAGGATTGAATCCGTAACCTTCAGTCAAACTGCTAGAGAATTTAACTTTCTATGGAAATGTCACGTCTGTTGACTAGAATAAAATCAACGAGTGGTGCTGAACAAAATCCAAGGATTTTTATCACAGCTTCAACCACACTCAGGATTTTACCAGTTGCTTGATTGCAGTGAGATTAATGCGGAGTAGAGTAGAATGAAGTGGAGTGGAGCAGAGCAGAGTGGAGTGGCGTAGAGTAGAGTGGGATAGAGAACGGCGGAGTAGAGTAGAGTGTAGTGGAGCAGAGCAGAGTGGAGTGGAGTAGAGTAGAGTGGGACAGAGAAGGGCAGTGTGAAGTGGAGTGGGGCAGAGCAGAGATGAGTGGAGTAGAGTAGAGTGGGACAGAGAAGGGCGGAATGGAGTGGAGTGGAGAAGGGAGTGGAGGAATGGGACAGAGAAGGGCAGAGCTGAGGGAGTAGGAAGAGCAGAGAAGGGACAGAGAAGGGGACAGAGAATGGAATGGAGGGGAGAAGAGCAGAGTAGAGACGAATGGAGGGACAGAAGGGCAGTGGGACAGAGAAGGGAAGTGGAGTGGAGCAGAGCAGAGCAGAGAAGTGGAATGGGGAAGAGGGGCAGAGAAGAAGTGGAGTAGAGTAAAGACGAGGGACAGAGAAGGGGACGGAATGGAGAATGGAGGGAGGGAGAAGAGCAGAGTAGAGAGGGAGTAGAGTAGAATGGGACAGAGAAGGGCAGATGGAGAGTGGGACAGGGAGGGAGGAGTGGAGGGAGTGGAGCAGAGCAGAGACGAATGGAGTAGAGTAGAATGGGACAGAGAAGGGTGGAGAGAGAGTGAGAGTGAAGTGGGAGGGGGCAGAGCAGAGACGAGGGGGAGTAGAGCTGAGTAAAGTGGGACAGAGAAGGGACAGAGAAGGGCAGAGGGAGGGAGAAGAGTGGGAGAGAAGAGGGAATGGAGACGAGTAGAATGGGACAGAGAAGGGCAGTGTAGAGTAGAGTGGAGTGGAGTGGAGTGGAGCAGAGCAGAGACGAATGGAGTAGAGTAGAATGGGACAGAGAAGGGCGGAGTAGAGCTGAGTGAAGTGGAGTGGGGCAGAGCAGAGACGAGTGGAGTAGAGTAAAGTGGGACAGAGAAGGGCGGAATGGAGTGGAGTGGAGAAGGGCAGGAATGGAGGAGGGAGGGACAGAGAAGGGCAGTGTAGAGTAGAGTGGAGGGAGTGGGAGTGGAGCAGAGCAGAATGGGGGGACAGAGAAGGGCAGAGTGTAGAGTAGAGTGGGGGCAGGCAGAGACGAGAGCAGAGTAAAGTGGGACAGAGAAGGGCGGAATGGAGTGGAGTGGAGAAGAGCAGAGTAGAGAGGAGTAGAGTAGAATGGGACAGAGAAGGGCAGTGTAGAGAGAGTGGAGTGGAGTGGAGCAGAGCAGAGACGAGTGGACTAGAGTAGAGTGGGACAGAGAACGGCGGAGTGAAGTGGAGTGGAGCAGAGAAGAGCGGAATAGAGTGGAGTGGAGTGGAGCAAACCAGAGCAGAGCTGAGTCGTGTAGAGTAGAGTAGAGTATAGTGGAGTGAAGTAGAGTGGTGTGTTTTCTTCTCTACAGTTTATCACCTCTTTGCAGGTTATTTAAAGCCAGAACATATTTTTTAGACTGTAAAATTTTTTTCAGGGATATCAATGATTTACTGATACAAATCCTACTAATTAACCCGTAGCTGGAGTCAAACAGGTGGAGTCACGCCTTTTCCAATAGTATTTGCGTGTAAGGGAATATAACGACCCCGACTGGAATTGGAACTCGGCTCTCCAATTTTCAATTCTAAACCGTTATCCATTACACCAGCCGCACGCCCAGGTTTACAGCACCTGATATTCCCTGACACGCATCTGGTCAGGTTCGACGTTCCAACGTGATAAAGTTGGAGACAAGAAACAAAGTTAATTTGTTAAACCCTAAAGAAATTAGAAAATTATAAGATTTTACTGAACTTTTCGGTAATTATTCGATAATAGATTCATGTTTTTTTTTTAATTGGGAAAAATGTTTGGTTTTGTCATTTACTCAAAATATATTTGCCTACACACACAATCATACATATACGCACAATTTTAATGCAATTTTTCTCGCCAAAATCTACACATTTATATCTCTACCATTCATCCATGAATTGAATATGGCTCCCACATCTATTCTGGTATTTCTGCTATGTATTTAGAGATTTTTGATAAAATTAAAAGAATCTGCAATGTTACGACCTGGCATTTCGTCTTCAGTCACTTCCCCACCGCCGTAACATAGATTCCCTCTGCCTTTTCTATAAATGTCTTCATGGTATTTGTTCTGATGATTTTTCATCCATGGTACCTGGACTTTATGAATTTAAATGCGCTACTTTGAATGAGAATTGGCCGAAATAAAATTAAACATACCAAAGTTCAATCTTTTTTGTCTGTTTCCTCCCAAGCTCTGACGAAGTTTAATGAAAGTGAAACATGTTAGATTGATACACATTTCCTATTTGTTTTTATCATATCATCCTGTAGGATTCCAACCAATAATTGCATTTGATCTTTAGCTCAAATACGTGTATATAGGATTAATATAAATATAAAATTTGTCATTTAGCTGATTGATGTTATATCCAGCACCTTGTCTCCAGAGTTTTTTTAGTCGAAACTTTGTGTCATGTTCTGTCTACTCGTCAGCCGGCATCAGCAAATGTCTGCCAATTTTTTGATTTTCGTTATTTTTATATAAAGTTAAAAAAAAAATTCATTGCTGTCAAGTGTGTGTATATGTGTGTGTGTGTGTGTTCGCCTGTACGAGTGCGTATGTGTCCATCTGTAGGATGTCGTGGTTATTCTATCTTTTCATAAATTACTGGTCTCCTTATAATCTTTTATTATTCCTTTTCTTTCTTTTCTTTATCTTTCAGCTCTTAGTCTCAAATGATGATGTAACAATGTCATATCCGGTGTCAGAGACAACTTCTAACTTAGGCTAATTTATCGGAATATTCACACACACACACACACACACATATATATATATATATGTATAGAGAGAGAGAGAGAGAGAGAGAGAGAGAGAGAGAGAGAGAGAGGTGTACCTGTGAGCGTGATGAAATGAACAGTATTGCTAAAAATCAATAGTGCTTTATTCAAATTGTATACAGATTTTGTAATAAAATCACAAAATTTCAGTCTGTGCTCCGAGAATAAGCCCCGAAAGTGCTTTTAACTTAGATTTCCAGTTAGGGGAGGTCATTCGAGATGAGATATACTATTATGGACGCTTCGAAAGTTATGCTTTCTCTCTAATTCCATGACCGGCTATAAACCTCCGCTAGCGCTGAAGAAGTTAAATACCACGCCCGTAGAAATCTCCAGCAGTAAAAAATAAACAAAAAAAAAAAAAAAAAAAAAACAGGCATTACTCAATTTACCACCTAACTGTGCTTACATCCCTTGTTTGGTCTCCGTAAACGTTGAATGTGAGAATGCGCAATTTTTGCGTCATGAAGAAATTCGGTTACACTAATCCGTACGCAATTTAATATTTGTCGCCATATGAGAAGAGTGCCACCTGTCTGCTTTCTTTAAGAAGATCAATAGAATTTATCGAAGTGGTGGTTGCATTTAGTTGTTTCAACAGTAAAAGGGAGGGACCTAGATGCCAATCTAGTAGCACGCTTAAGTTCATGTAGTCGGGACACCAAGGAAAAAAAACTCGTCAGAGCAGTTGCCATAAAAATATTTGTAGAAAAGATAGAGGGAAGCCACGTCAGGTCGGTGAGAAAGTGACTGAAGTCAAGATGCCGGGTCGGGATCGATTACATTACAGATCCTTCTTTGTATTTTGTCAAGAATCTCGAGATACACAGTAGAAGCACCAGGCCAGATATGGCAACAGTATTCAATGCACGAACGAATGGCAGATTAGCAAATGTACAAGATGGATTCTGACAAGAAATATTGTGACCCAAAATTTCCTTGCAGTAGACGCATATATTGAGTCCCTCCACTTCATATCAGTAGAAAATGTGAAGCCCAGAAGGTGCAGTGAGTTGCTCTTCAGGAGCTTATGGCAGGTAGAAAAGTTTCTCTATAATGTTTAAATAAAAGAAGTTTAGTTTTGTTTTGGATGCGTTCAAATTTACAAGCCATTTCTTGCTCCAGTTAACTAGTGATTGAAGGTCCTTTACAAAAAGCGCAAGAGAAAACTGGTATGGGAAAATACATTAATATCAGTAAGCTGATAGTTTAGTATTAAATAAACTTGAATCTTTTAACTTTTAGTACATCAGTTAGTCAGCTTAAGCCATCATATATCTTTCGATACATGAATGACAAGGCTGATTATTTTTTCCCGCAGTAGGTTGCATTTCTTTCTGCGGTAGACCAGTTTCCATCCAAGGCTATAGAACCCGGTCTGTTTTACTAGTTAGAGGGGAGAAGAAGAGGATTCATACCTTTTCCAAGGGTATTAGCACGTAAGTGAATGTAATGGATTCTACTGGAATTCGAACTCGACTCTCCAATTCTTCAATCTGAGCCGCTATCCATTACTCCATTACATCCTATATTTGTACATAGGTAGAACTAATAATCTTTTTACAATGACATAGAAAATAAGTTAGATTTACATTTACTTACATAAATATGTACATAAGTAGGTAAAAATGAAATAATTGCCTTATCGTCGATATCTTCATCATGTCCCATGACCAGGTTTAGTGGTAGGGTCATTGTGCAGCTGACCCCTCGAGCAACTCCCACCATCGATCTCAGTCGTGTGCCAATATCTGGATTGAAAGCTGGAGAAACATTCATATATGCTTAGCGTGCGTTGGGCATATACTCCTCGCATTGTTCAAGGACACGTGGGCGTTGATTCTATCGAGGTGTACCGTCCGCCATAATCGTTGACTTCAGTCAAGGAAGTATCCCAACCTCAGATATCGTGTCTTCACTGCATTGAATATACTACCAGGAGTTTAGACTTATGTAAAGATTAGTTTGAAGCCAGTCCAAATTCGTTTCTCGGTTGAAATCTCCACTGGGGAGAGCCTCGAAGCCCCTACACATGGAGTCACCCGCAAAGTCTTATGCTCGAGGCGATGAAGTAAGGGGGTATATTTGTGTCGTTGGACGTTTGAGTAAAAGGATCATATTTAAATATAACAATTATTATTATTACTAGCGTAGGAATAAACACAAACTAATAAGTATTTTTGATAGGAAGTTTGGAGTCAATTACCTTCATTTTTTTTAAAGAAATATTGAAAAATATAGATGTTATAATATTAACAACCTTTTCCATTTAAGTGAAGCAGACATTAAACACACGAGGGCGTTAGCGCATCCTCTTTCTTTCTTTATTTTTTTCTTACATTCTTTTTTTTTCCTTCACTGACAAAAAATGGCGGGTTGATCACGTGACTTCGAACAAACCAATCAATGAAGCTAACTGTAGCATATCTTTTCAAGTTTTTTAAATTCATCTCAGCCTGAATTTTTTCCGCCTTTCCTCGTGATCAAAACAGAATAATCCATTATTTATACTGTATTGGCAAAGTGTAATGGACGTCAGCAATCGCATTGTTTCTGACCTGGCATCTCAGCTTCACCAATGTATTGTAGCTTCCTTTTGCCTTTTCGAGAAATACTTTCAAGACATGGAGTGGAAAGACTATATTGAATCGATTGCTAGGAGTCTGCTCCTAGCAAAGTTGGGTCACTCTGTAGAGCTAGACAATGATTATTTCCAGAATTTATCTTTTATATTTATAAGACTACCATCTACCCATCCTTTGAATATTGGTGCCACGTCTAGTCTAGTTCTTCGGCTATGTATTTAGAGATTCTTGATGCAATATAAAGAAGAATCTGAAATGTTATTGGTCTTAACCTGGCATCCCGGTTTCATTCATCTTCCCACCGTCGTAATATAGCTTCCATTTCTATAAATACTTTCATGTTGATTGTTCGGATGGTACCTAGACTTTATGAATTGAAGCGCAATATTTTATTAGTAATAGAGCCACATAATTTTATAGTTGAATTAGCTAGATTTAATTTGCTAACAGTTACTTTTCTCGCACTGCACGCCTGTGGAACTCTCTTCCGGTGTTTCGCTCACGAACAAGTTTGATTATCAAAAATTAAATGTAATATCAATCATTCTATTCTACCTTCTAAATTCTTGTTCTTTTATTGATCTCTCTAATAATTTTTTTTTTCATATTCTCTAAAACTTAGGAAACTCTTGCATCTTAATATCTTTATTGCTTTGCTTGGGCTGAAATGGTTTGGTGTGTTTTGTTTTACGGCATATCAACCTCAATGGATTATTTAATGCTGACAAAATTTTTTATTGCTGGTAATACTTTTCTCCCAAAATGTATTGCTTACAATATTTTTTTTCAAAAATGTATTGCTGGTAACATTTTTTTCAATAATGTTTTTGCTGGTAATAATGTATTTCTGGTAATAATTTTTTACAAAAAGTAATTCTGATATTAAAACCTATTTTTACACTTTCATAGTGTTTTGGCCCCAGTTTAGGGGTTAGCTATTTGCCCATAGCTGAGACTCTAGTAGGTGCTAATACCCGGGTCACGATGAACCTGTGAACACCAGTAATTAAGATCCTGATCAGAGGCCTTGCTGTCGGACATAGTTTATCGTCTTACCCAGGACGTGGATGTAGTTTATCGTCATACCCAGGACGGTGGGGTGAAATGATTAAAAAAGTAACTAAATAACTAGCTAAGTAAGAAACAGAATTATAATATGATGAGGATCATTGCCGTCTTTTTTGTTATACAAAAGAAATAGTAAATCAACATGACGAAAGAAATATTAAATTCGAAACGACTTACCTAACTTACAAATTTAAAAATATATCTTTAAATAAATAAATAAGCAAAGAGTGCTATGTGATTGTCGAATACTGTATTGAGAAATAAGATTTACAGACAAATGGGTAACATAGATGCATGTATACTTATATAGATAAAATCAGGCGGGGGACAGTCAAACTGATAGTTTGTTCTTAATGATCTTATTCAAATGGATGTATAGGAAGCTGTCTGTAGACATTCATTCAAAACGAGCTAACGCAGATGCGTACGCAATAGTAAAACACAAAACTAGAAAGAAATATACAAAAAAAATTGAAAATAAACCTTGAAATCTAAAAAGCCATTTTCTATTGTGTGTTTTTTATTACCCCAATTAAGTGTACAGCATTAAATGTCCGCTGTAGTAGTCATGAATCAGTCACACGAGAGGTGACTCGTGACGATTTAGATCCGGTCTGATCACGTGACGTCGAACGAACCAATCAATGAAGCTGACTGTAGCATATCTTTTCAAGTTTTTCAAACTCATCTCAGCTCCGATTTTTTTCTTTATCTTGGCCGCGCTTTCTTCGTCATTAATGGCTACATTTATTTCATGCAAATCATAATTAAAATGACGCATCGTGTGGCTTGAACAGTTAGATTACGTTAACAGCGTTCAACGGGGAATGCATGGTACCCTCCCACGACCCCTTTAATCGAATGGCTCTTCTTTTCGTAGACTCCTCTCAGCCATCGGCATCCGATCCTCCTTCATCAGGCCAGTCTTAAGGGGAAATCACAGAACAAATAAAATAAGAATAAAAGTCTTAAAAAGATTTTAATAAAGTAATTTTAACGATGTAAGTAATAATTAATTTCAAACGACAATATAATCGTCAGTGCATTAAAAACACTTATTAAGATGTTGAATTAATTAGTTAGAAAAATGTTTAAATTATTATTTTAAATTAATATTAAGTTAAAAACATGATATTATTTTTAAACGCCTATCGTCTGATTTACCCTCAAACCCGGTCTTTGAAAAGGTGTAGATGTTTATCTCTTTCTTCCTGTCAGGATTGGGTTTCTAGTTCCTTCTAAAGTCTTTCTATTCTATTTCACTCCCTTGCATCTTAGTAACATTATCGCCTTGCTTGGTGCGAACTGATAAAAAACAATTGAAAGAAAATTCTTAAATATAATTCTTTATTTATAATACAATATTATTATTTATTAATAATATACTATTAATTTAATATTCTACTTCTGTGTAGTTTAAATTAATAATCTCTATTCTTATCATCTCTGCTCATTTTAACTTTATAGTCTACTATTTTCTCTTTGGTCTAACGGCCATATCACGTTGAAATATCGGTTGCCGTACGATCAGGGAAGTTGAGCAACGTCGAGCCTGATCAGCATCTAGATGACCATTTGTGAATAGCAGGTGCTGTCAACTTTGGTGCGCGGTTGCTGTAATGGATACTGAATTGTTAATCGGAGAGCCGAGTTCCAATTCCAGTTAAGATCGTTATATTCACTTACCAGCAAATACCCTGGTAAAAGGTATGAATCTACTTCTTCTCCCTCTATCTATGGGTTAAGTAGTAAGACTTGTATCACTAAACAATTATTATCCAAAAACTAATAAACAATTCTTACAATCTAAAAAAAAATATATTTTCTGGCGTTAAATTACCTGAAAAAGTTTGAAAAGCTGTAAAAAATGAATGAATCAATCTTCTCTTCCATTCTTCGCTTGATTTTCACAGGAACTGAGCAACTGGTCAAACTCCTGAGAGGTCTTATAACAGAGAAAAAAATCCTTGGCTTTTATAGAGCATCTATCAGTAATCTTATTCCAGTCAACAGAGTTGACATCTCCATTAAAAGCTAAAGTCTCTAGCAGGTTGAATGAAATTTTTTTTTCATATTCTCTAAAACTTAGGAAACTCTTGCATCTTAATATCTTTATTGCTTTGCTTGGGCTGAAATCGTTTGGTGTGTTTTGTTTTACGGCATATCAACCTCAATGGATTATTTAATGCTGACAATTTTTTTTTTATTGCTGGTAATACTTTTCACCCAAAATGTATTGCTTACAATATTTTTTTTTCAAAAATGTATTGCTGGTAACATTTTTTTCAATAATGTTTTTGCTGGTAATAATGTATTTCTGGTAATATTTTTTTACAAAAAGTAACCTATTTTTACACTTTCATAGTGTTTTGGCCCCAGTTTAGGGGCTATCTATTTGCCCATAGCTGAGACTCTAAGAGGTGCTACTACCCGGGTCAGGATGGACACCAGTAATTAAGAGGTGGTTCCACGCTGGGCAGTATATTTTATTTTTATTTTTCTCTTCCACCATACACTGTATTACTGAAACAAAAAAAACAACCGTCACATTTGTTCAATGAGAATAGGTTTAGATTAATTAATCAATCTGTTTTTGGCGTGTTTGGATATGCTTGTCAAAAGGTCCATCGCCACAGTTTTAAAATGGTGTGGTACTTTAAGTAAAGCCAGACCACAGATAAGAATGCACACTAATTTAAAAAAAAAACCCAAAACATCATTTCACTCCAAACAAGGCAATAAAACCACAAAGAATCAAGATTGAAAAGAACACAGAGGACAATAAGAGAACGGTATTTAAGGAAACAGAAGTTAACCATTAGCATGACATTTATATTTTTGAAAATTGTAGTTGGGGAGAGAAGATATGGATTCATATTCTTTGCAAGGTTATTAGCACATAAGGGGAAGTAATGAGTCGTGTTAATTACATTCATTTACGTGCTTAATACTGTTGCGGAAGGCATGAACCCATCTCTTCTCCATCCTCAAGGTATGGGTAAATACCAGGACACACTTGGGTGGCAACCAGTCTAGGAGAAGAAAATATCTGAATTCAAAAACCAACGTGAAAAGGGTTGGGCTCCGTCACGTTATCTTATCCAGGAAATAGCACATGTACTGCTGCTGCAATACACGTGGTGCCCCTACGACCCTAATGGGTTACGGGTCTCGTAATCGTGTTGAGAGGGAAGCAGGAAACGAAGAAACTATTAACATAGAAGTCACGGTTACAACAAGCAGTTTACATCATATTCACAGTGGGATTATAAATGATTTTCAGGTGGCACCGATCCAACCCCACAGACGGACCTGCTTGTCATTTCCCACCAAAAAAAATGAAATGTTGCTATTAAATGATCTCATCTTCAATATTATTGATTTACCTGTATTTAAGTATGAAAGAGTTTACAAGAACAGTATTGTTAGATCCGAATCTGTCTAGCTTTAGACAGATTCGGAGTGTGTCGTCGATTAAGCAAAATTTTTCTTTAATAAGTAAACAATGCAATTTTTAAAGAAGGTACTGATTTTTATTAATTAATCCAATCTATTTTATTACTTAAACGATATTTTTAATGGATACCCGTATTTGTGAAGACGCCTCGTTTATTTATTAAACGTTATATTTTTTTTCGTCTAGCGGCCTAAAAATTTGTCGCGCTCTCCGACAGGATGTGAAATTGCACCCCCCATTGGCTAGAGAAACCATCGTCAGATTTGACGTGCTTGATAAGATAGCGTGACGGGGCCCAAACCTTCTCAATTCGGGCAGGTAGTGTGTCGTCGATCGAAAAAAGTTCAATAGTCTCATCAATAGTCTCATCATATATTTTTCTTCAATGAGATTCCCAATGTCCAACCCTGACTCACGAGCTGTGGTGCCTGGGAAAGTCAATGTTCGTGAGAAGACACTTCCAGAAGGAGTAAGGATGAGATTTCCTTGTGCGCTCGGTGGCAGTGGCCGATAAACTGTAATCGTTTTTGTTTGAGCTTTGGGTAGATTGTTCTCAGTTCTTCGTAAATTTTGATATTTTTTTTGGTAGCTGATACAAAATGTGGGCCACCACCCCTATATCCGGGTGTGCTTTTGTTGTTGAGACACCATCTCTAGAAAGACCGCCACCCAAGTCTAAAGCCATGAAATGAATTCCTCGCCAGACACCAACTTGAATCTGAATTTCCGCAGACTGTCTTAAAGACTCCAGCTCCGAATTTGTCCTCAATGTTTACTCGCGAATCCATTCCCATGATTGCGTATGGCTCCAAGTCAGCGGAGGTTGAAAATCACAGTTTTATATATACTAATGGTTACTCAATAAAATGCATGAGACCCACATAAGGTAGAGCTTTCGTCTCTGCTAAAATGGTTAAGATAATTGTTGTGTTATGAATAAGAGAGGAGCTGGTAGGAATATGATAAGGATAAGGAGGATATATAATGACCAAGTCTTCATTTGAATAGATTAAGACTGTAGTATTTAAGGAAGAGTCTGTAGAGGAGTTAATTCACATACGTGCAATTCTGGCTAAAAAGCTTTTTTCGCCTTTCATACTGAATACGGAGGCAATGAGGATGATTTGACTCAGTGGAAGTAACAGGACTTGTCCTTGCTGTAAAGGTCTGAGCTAGAGGAACCAAAGAATTAAGGTCATCCGAAAATTTGCCATGGAAATATCGATAGACTTGTAAAGTTGCGTCTATATAAAAGAGGCTAGAGAGTGGAGAGTAAGTTTTTGTCCACATAAAAACGATTTCGAACTTTCTCGAGGCTAGAAAGTTAAGAATAGGCAACTCTAGTATAGTAGAAATACTCTATTTTTGGTCCAATCTGACTCTTGCAAAGATAAGAATGGGAGCAGGATTCAGATACTTCATGGAGTGACAGACAGAAACGACCATTTTTCTGGAATTTTTAACAGTAGATTCTACATATGTGTTCTACTTCATGTTTTCGAAGAACTTGAGACCAATAGACCAGGGTAGCCAAACTTGCGTAATGTAAGAGCTACATACAAAAAAATTCAGATGTTTGAGAGACGACACATACTAGAAAAAAATGTATAGATACATCTTTGTTACATACTCATGTGACCACTCCACCCCGAGGCATCTAAATCTTAAAAGGAAGATTAAAGGAAGATAACCTGTGTCATCACGAAGAGGCATGACACGTGGAACGAGAACAATCTACCCCGGTGGACGAAATAAAGGGTTCAGTTCAAAATTCTAATCACCTGAAGAAGGCCAGAACGTACAATGGTCGAAAAGTCGTGAATATGACAATAAAGATGAGGACAAGAGTAAATGATTACAATACCTCATCCCAGAAATATAGACAGATATTGAAGGGACATTGTTTCTTGATTTCAAATCGTCTGATCCCATTCAGACGCCTGGAAATATATTTAAGAAGAGCGTTAGTGTGAATACCGTGTGAATGCTTCTTTCTTGTTATGTGCCGTGTCCTTTCAGGACGTAGGCGATCATGGCTCTCCCTCTATCCCTTGCATCTCTCAACAAGTTCCTTCCCTCTGCTTCCTCTCCCAGACCACGTTCTGTCATCCACTTGCTTATGCCCGCCAGGTATGTCATGCGTTGTTTTCCTTTGTTTCTCGTTCCCTTTATTCGACCCGTGAGTATCAGATTCCCCAGGCCCTCCTTCCTCATTATGTTTCCCAGAGTTGCTTCTTCCCGATATTAAGTATAAGCCTCGTCCTTGTTTGCAACCTCTTTAAGATCTCATCGTTGCTCACACGCTCGGTCCATGATATCTGTAG